ATGGGGGCAGTTGCACAGGCTCAGCATTTGCCCAGCTACAACCCCCTGGCAGTGGCGCTGCATGGGAGAATCGCACCACCAGCCTCTGAGCCCAAGTTGGACCCAATAGCTCCTGGGGCTCCCCAGCTGGCCAGAGCAGGGCGCAGGCAGGAGCTGCACTTAACCTTCATGATGCATCCTGTTGGGGTTGGGATCTGCGCTTGGGGGCAGTTGCACAGGCTCAGCATTTGCCCAGCTACAACCCCCTGGCAGTGGCGCTGCATGGGAGAATCGCACCACCAGCCTCTGAGCCCAAGTTGGACCCAATAGCTCCTGGGGCTCCCCAGCTGGCCAGAGCAGGGCGCAGGCAGGAGCTGCACTTAACCTTCATGATGCATCCTGTTGGGGTTGGGATCTGCGCTTGGTGTGTGCATGGCCGGCGATGCAGCTCCAGCCTCCTCTGTGCTGGAAGTTTGTCTTGTAGTAGCTCCCCCTGCACATGGGCCTTGGGCTGCCTGCGCATTGCCCTACTCACTGACATGACATCCTTACATCACTTCCCTGCAGCTCCGGCTCTGGTCCCAGCCAGGGCCACCAGAGCAGCTGCCACCTAACACATGGCTCTGTCTCCAATTGGGGACACCGGAGCAGCTGCTGCCCGCCACACGGCCTGCAGCTCCAGCCGTAGGAAGGGCTGAAGCTAGGGCCAGGGCCGCATGGTGGCTGCCCTCCTACTCTTGGGGTGGGGCAGCCGCCCGCCATGTGGCCCCACTGCAGAGTAGCTGGGCAGGCCTTTTAATTCCTGCACAGCGTGCACCTTAGAGAGAACACTACTGTGCTCCTCAGTGGAGCCCAGTTAGGGGCATGGCCTGGCAGTATGCCATGGCCCGGCAGGCAGGGGATGGCCGCCTGGTGCCAGTGCATGGACCAGCGGTTGGGAACCACTGCTGTAGGGTTTAACATGAATTCACAAATAGATTGAATATCATTGCACATATATACAATTTCATTCAAAAAATCTTATGGGAATGATCAGTGACTACGACTCAAGCAATGCTCTGGAAAAGAAAGATAGCAATGTTCATGTCTTTACGTTCACTTAATCAATAGAAAATGGAATTAATTCATTATACTTCCCTCTGTTTTCCAGAGGTCACTTTTGAGTCTCTAGTTATTTTAGGACCCAGTCCTCCAGCCATTCTGTGGGACCACTTACATGATTCAGAATTGGGATTTCTGGTTTTTGGATTTGACATAGTAGGAGGGAATTCTGCCTCAGTTTTGCATGATTATATGATCACTTAACGTAAAGGAAGTAGAAGACATAGTCCATGCTGGCAAGTCACTTAATCTTTTTGTCTCTTTTAGTTTGTAAAGAGTGGCATGTTTTGAGGTTTAGTGTTGATAAAGTAATTGGAAATTTTCAGACTTGTCGATGCTGTAGAAAAGCAAAATAGTAGCATTGGTATGTATGCAGAAAGCATGTATAGTAGACCTCTTCCTTGCCAAGTAGTTGTGAGAACCTCATTTATACTACTCTAGTTTTGTGAGAGCCCTTAAGGAGGGGCTCAGGGCAGGGGACTGTGTGTGTGTGGAGGGAGGAGTATGGGGGGAGGGCCCAACCCCCTTCCTCTCCATGAGATTTGTACCAGGCTTGCTTATTCTTCCCCTTCCTGTCCCTGTTGGAGCGAGAGCAAAGTGCACAGCTTGTCTGCCTGCTATTCTTCCCAGACAGAATGAGGATTGCAGCAAACTGTGCGCTTTCACCTTCCTCCCTGATGAGAACAGCTAGCAATATCCACATACGCATCTGGGAGGGGGAACTTTAGTCCCCCCCTTTCCCGGTATCCTTTCTAAAGGGTGCTTGGGGGGGTGGGAGGCTCAGGGCTAGGACAGTTTCAGAAGTGGGGACACATGCCCCCAGCCAGCCCCTTTCATCTGCCTGGTAATTCTGTTTCTTTTCAGTGTGCTTTTATGAGAAGCAATCCCATAAAATGCTCATCCCATTTCCCTGGCACAACCAGACCCTTACCTGCCTTTAAGTTACACGAGGTAGCTATATACCAAATGTGGTAGTCCTAGCTCTTACCATTTAGGAGGAATTCTTGAACAAAAAGACAGACAGACTAACAAACTCTATTAAATAGATAAATAGTAGATTTTAAAGGGTAAAAAATTAAAATGCTGGGCTTGATACCACCAGGCTGAACTAAATAAATCAAAGAAATAAATGCTTTATATTTGTTTAAAAAAAACCCAAAAGCAAAAGATTCAAAGTAATATTCATGATGACATTATATAAAATACACATACTACAGTTCTTGTCGATATGTCCTTTTGTAGCTCATCCATGAGCAATGGGTGGGAAATCTAGATATTTTATATGGCACTCATAGTACTGAATGTCAAATGAAATTGTACATTATTATTAATAGGGTACATCCCACTTGAATGAAGACAAGTTAGTACTGTCATGATAAGATGCAATAACATGTTCCAAAGAAATGTAACTTAGCAGTGATTTGTGTAGGAATACAAAAACTTAACTGGTTCAGAACTCTTTCATCAACTCCTACCCCCTTTTAAGAAACTTGTTTGGGTACTATTGGAACTCTCAATGAAACATTTGCAGATGGTTCACAATGTAAATCTGTGTTGCGATCAATCTGAGAGCACAACTTTCATCAGTGGGCTTGAGTACATGGTACTTTGGATTATTTTAAGAATTCACAGATTCCAAGGCCAGAAGGGCCCATTGTAATTATCTGGTCTTACTTGCTGTATAATACAGGCCATAAAAGTTACAATATTTCCTAGAGCATACCTCCAACCTTGATTTAAAAATGATCAGTGATGGAGAACCCATCATTATATAACGCCTTATTTTCAGTCCAACTCTGTCTAACTTTAACATCCAGCTAGTGTACTGTGTTATATTTTTCTCTTTGACCAAAGAATCTATTATTAAATGTTAGTTCCCCACATGGGTACCTGTAAACTTATCAAGTCATCCTTGGCTATCTCTTTAAGAATTAGGCTATAAATTCTTAAGGTCAGCTATATAAGGCTTTGTGCATTTTCTAATGTTAAAGATGAATTTCAAAATTCATGCTAACATTAAAAAAACCTGCAAAACTCTAGAAGAGCCAGCTTAAGTATATTGTATCTCTGTGTCACCAGCTAACAAAAATTACTTCCCTAAATTCCAGAAGAAACCAAGATTCTGAGGTCACAGCTATTCTGTCAGAGTGACTGATGGTCACCACTGCCAGGATTGAAAAAGGAATTAAACCAAGGGGGTATAGTAAGAGGGTTCTGTCAGACCCTAGTTGTACTTATGTCACATTGTCTGGAACAGAAATCAGGAAATCTGCAGCTCATTTTTCTCAAGCATTTAAAGTGACAAGCTGTGTCTACACTGGCACCTTTTTCCGGAAATGCTTAAAACGGAACAGTTTTCCGTTTATAAGTATTTCCAGAAAAAGAGCATCTACATTGGCAGGATGCTTTTCCGGAAAAGCCCTTTTTCCGGAAAAGCATCCGTGGCCAACGTAGATGCGCTTTTCCGGAAAAAAGGCCCGATAGTCATTTTCGCGATCGGGGCTTTTTTCCGGAAAAGACTACTGTGCTGTCTACACTGGCCCTTTTCCGGAACAGTTTTCCGGAAAAAGGACTTTTGCCCGAGCGGGAGCAGCATAGTTTTTCCGGAAAAGCAGCTGATTTCTTACAGTGAATCGTCACTGCTTTTCCGGAAATTCAAGGGGCCAGTGTAGACAGCTCGCAGCTTATTCCGGAAAAGTGGCTGCTTTTCTGGAATAAGTGGCCCAGTGTAGACACAGCCACAATGTACACATGACTTTCTGTAATGTGTTATTCTTACAAGTAACTCCCAAGTTTACTAGAAGTAAAAAAGCTTATAGGAAAAAAATTACTTTGGGTTTTTTGTTTTCTTTTTGTTTTCAGTCTGTTCGTTTTGTCATGATCAGGTTCCGTGGCATTGCCAATCACTTTCTACTTTTGTTCGCATGGATCTCTGCTATAGCAATGGTAGGGAGAAAAACATAATAGAAGAAAAAAGGATCAGGGAAAGGGCCTGAAACTTTCAACTAACTTTGAAAAGTTGATTAGATTTAAAGTAGGAATATTATTGCATAGATGAGTACACAATTGGCTTATCGGTTAATCTTGTGGACTTCGTTACCCACCCCTCCTTGCTGCTTCTGTATTAGAGACAGCAAGGTCAGGGTGGAGTGAGGACGAGGGGGGGGGGGGAGGGAGAGAGCTGGAGCCAGTGCCCATGAGGAGCTGTCTAAAAGCTGGATTCCCATGAGCACTGGATGTGCTTGCTCCCACCCCTGCGCTTCTGCCTCTGATAGGCAGCAGCACAGAGGGTGAGGGGGCCAGACTGGAACCAATATGCGTGGGGAACTGACTTCAAGCCAGCTCCCCGTGTGTATCGGCTCCCGTGGACCAGCCTGCTTCCCTGCCCAGCTGCCTCCTACAGAGGCAGCAAGGAGGGGGCATAGGAGGCTGCTGTGAAGCAGCCTCTGTCTGTGACGAGCCTGGGCCCATTGCAGACAGAAGCTGTTACTTGGCATCAGCCCGTGTCCATGGGGGGGTTCTAGCTCCCGCAGCAGTAGGGTTGCCAGGTGTCCGGTTTTCGCCCGGACTGTCCGTTATTCAGGTCCCTGGTCCAGTAAAAAAAACAGAAAATACTGGACATGTGAAATGTCTGGTATTTCCTGTTTCCCTCAGATGGAAGTTTAGCGGGGACAATTTTCCTCTGCCGCGTCTGGTGGAAGTGAGGAGTGCTGGGCCATTTAAAGGCACAGTGCCTTTTTTTTTTTTTTTAAAGCAACTTTGGTCTCTTCCCCCACCCCACCCCACCTTTTTTTTTCCTCAACAGAATTTTGCAGGGGGCGAGGGCGTGTTCAGTATTTTTTGTTATGCCACCTGGCAACCCTACGCAGCAGCTCCTGTTCACCGGGAGGGTCTGAGCTCCCCATGGACAGAGGCTGCTCCGCATCTCATGGAGAGGGGCTGCTGTCACCCTGTACTGCTGCCTCTGCTCTCATCTGCCACCCCACGCTGCTTCCTCTGATAAATAGGCAGCATTGTGGGATGGCAGGGGGCTCCCTGGGAGTGCGGCTGGAAACGCACTAGATTTTGGCCCTGCCTCTGGAGACTATCAAATAGCCTCTGGAGACTATGAAATAGTTGTGTAACCACATAGTCATGCGGTTACACGACTATTCAATTACACGATATCTAACATCCCTAATTTAAAGTTGATGGTGTCTTATTTTAAGTAGGTTGAACTGCCTCTGATGTTAAAAATACAGTCAGCTACTCTCTTTAACAGCTATATGCTTTTCTTATTTTGGAAAATCAACATACTCTTAGGAAAGTTGTTGGTGCTATGGAATACAAATGTCTGTAAACAGAACTCCATCCTTTCAACTTCACCTTTTTGGGCAAGTACATGCATGTTGAGGGCAGTATAGATTCCCAGGCGTTTTGCCGTTTAACAAATCAAGTGTGGTTCTTCTGTGGTGTTGTGGTTGTTTTGTTTTGTTTTTTAAATACTCACTCTGGTGTTCCATGAAACAAAATACAGGACTAACTGGGTGGTTTATTAGATGATGAGCTTTCATGGGCCAGACCCACTTCCTCAGATCAAATAGTGTTCTATCATTGGTGTCCCATGGCTATGTGTCTCGATGAGATCCTCACCTGTGTTTTGATGATATGCAAATAAGTCAAAAAGGATTAACAATGGGGTTTTGTTTTGTTTTTTTGGAGTATTTGGGGATTTGCTATCTAAATGATCAGGTTCTTGAATAGTCACATTTTGAAATGCCACTTTCTCCAGTGTTGCAATTCCATACACTCAAACACCAGAAAAAGAGAGCTGGAGAAATTCCTGGAGGATAGGCCCATAAATGGCTATGAGCCAGGAGGAGCAGGGACGGTATCCCTGGCCTCTGCTTGCCAGAAACTGGGAATGGTTGACGGGATGGATCGCTTGATGATCACCTGTTATGTTCATTCTCTCTGGGGCATCTGGCATTGGCCACAGTCAGAAGACAGGATATTGGTCTAGATGGACCTTTGATGGATAGAATGATGGAATACTACAACTGGAAGGGACCTCGAAGTCAGCCCAGGCTCCTGCAATGCCCCAGACTGGACTTGGTCTGACCCACTATAGCCATTCTTATGTTCAGAGAATTGTGTTTGGTACCATGTGGTGTTTCTGCTGACCTACAACTGAGATAATTCTTGGGACGTACTGTGATCTAAAATCTTGAAAACTGTTTTGTTTATTCCTTTATTTGTTTATAGGTGCTTTTGATGGAAGGCCGGCGGATTATATGTTCATGCTTCTGTTTAACTGGATTTGCATCGTTGTATCCTTCTGTTCATCAAGTTCTTGGCATACTTTGCTGCTTGTGTTTATGCCTAATCTAAGGCATCTTCATAACCATTTTTTATTGGCTGAAAGCACTAAAATAAATTAAGTTTTCCATAGACATGAAAAGATGGCTCTTACTCATCAGGGCAAGCCAGTGGAATTATTTTTGAGGAAAAACACAGTGATTGTGCTAGTTCAAAATTCCAGTTTGTCTGATAAGTTTGGAAAATATGTAGTTTTGTTTACACACAAGAATATCAGAGCAATACAAGCTTTCCCAGAGTTCACTGATAGTGTACCTCTATACTGACCATTTATGGACCATTGCTAGGGTTGGGAGTAGGGATGTAAAATCCCGATTAATTCACTAATTGGTTAATCAATTAAGCAGGCTCCCAGTCAGAGGGTCCCTCCAGCCCAGCTGTAGCAGCCCCCCAGCTCCACACAGGCTGGTCCTGGCCCCAGCTGCCAGGCAGAGCTGAAGCAGCCCTCTGCCTTTGGTCACCTGTTCACATCCCTTGTTGGGAGCAAATTTAGTGGCCATGTCCAGCCAATCCTTAGCTTCCAAAAGCAGTTGGCGGTTGTGCTGGGGTTTATGTGAACTCTTGATCACTGTGAACTGTATGATACTACAAAGCTAATGTAACAAAGACCACCAGATGGTAACAGCATTCAGTAACCAAGGCCTAAATCAGGTTGTTGATCTTGAGGTGAAAGGCTTAATAGCCTGTTAGCAACTCTATGAATCATTTATTTCCCCGCCTCTCAGGCCATCCTTTGAAGTTGCATTGGTATATTTTAGTCCCATCACCGGCACTATTTCTTTACTCTTCTTTTCTCTGCTGAACATTAGTTCATTTTTAGCAATTCTTTCCCAGTATGGTCACCTATGACAGTTTTGTGGCTTGAGATGGAACAGAAGACGTGAATTCAGCACAACCTGTGGTTATGGTCAGGAGACTTGCTATGTAGAATGCCACCTTAATCAATAGATGTGCTCCTTATTTTTTTCTTTTAATCATATCTGCTAACTGCAGTGTATAGAAGGAATCTCTACTCTCAGCATATTCTACTTCACTGCCAAAAAAAACATTGGATGAATTCTGACTGCAGAATTTTGACTAGGTGCTAATGTAAGGGTACGTCTAGACCCGTGGTCCCCAACCCGGTGCCCGCGGGCGCCATGGTGCCCACCGGGCCCTTTACATGCGCCCGTGGAGCAACTTGGGCTGGCCCCGCCCCCGGGGGTGTGGCAGGTGCCAGCCCCGGGCGCATGGCCGGCCCTGGCCCTGGGTGCGCCGCGCGTGCCCTGGCCCTGGGAGGTCTACAAATGCCTTTGATGTCGACCCCCGCGCGTCCAGACTACCACGCTGAGCCGACAAACAGCTGATAGGCTCAGCGCGGCAGCCATTTAAATTTAAATAAAGCAGCGATTATTTAAATCGCCGCTTCATTTTCCTAAGCTAGGTAGCCTAATCTACATGCCTCTGTCGCCAGATTACAGCTTGATTTTTTTCTTTTTTTAAAGACCTACTCCCCTCTCCCCGCAAGAGTGTGCAATTAGACTGTTTCTCTTAACTTGCAAAATAGCACAAACTTGATACAGAAGTCTGTAGAGAAACCCACAGGCCCATAGTGTCACATTGGTTTCCTTTTCAGACTATAGTTGCATTTGGTACTACAGTTACTGAGGAATAGTACTGTTATCTGTTAAAACAAAAACTTCAACAGGTAATTCAGTTTCCTAGTCGTCATAGTAGCATTGGAAGGTTTCATCAGTAAATTTTGAGACACTGTTTTTTGTTACTTGTTATTAGTGACATTACATTTTCAGTTGATTTGCTTGCTGTTTCCTTGAGATTACAAATCCCGGGTGAGAAATAGGGATATGAACGACTAGTTGACTATCCCATAAGCAAATGCTTATCGGATAGTCGACGCACTAGTTGACTAGTCACTCCCCCCCTTCTGCCCCCATGCTGCCTCTATCAGGAAGAGGTGTCTTCAGGCTGCACGTGGCGTTTTAAAGCAGCAGCGCCGCATGGAGCCTGGGATAGCTGGGGACTCCCCCGCTGACCCTGGGTTCCGTGTGGCCCTGCCGCTTGGAAGCGCTGCATACAGCCTGACGCTGGGCTCCCCGCGGCTTGAGTCCCACACTGACCCCGTGATCCTGCAGCGCTTTTGCCTTTGAAGTGTAGTAACAGCCCCTTCTCAACTAATCAAGGCGCCCTTATCAACTAATCAAAGAAAATTGCATCGATTCGATTGGACTATTAATCTAAATTTAACATCCCTAGTGAGGAACCTGCAGCACATCCAGCCCCCTCTTTGATTCAATATGGTCCAAAGCAAGTCTCCAAGTCCCCCAGCTCAGAGCTGGAGCTACAAGCACTGGCTCGTAGCAATCCGGGAAGTTCTATGTGCTGCCCCCCTCTGACCTCCCATTAGCCATGAACCGCAGGCAGTGGAAAGTGTGGGGGGCCAGCATGTGCAGGCAAGGACAGCACACAGAGGCCCCCCTCCCTGCCAGGAGCCTCAGGGAGATGCTGGCTACTTCTGAATTAAAAAGCTGCCTGAGGGAACTGCCCTTACACCCCCTCCTGCATGCCAGCCACCTATCTCAGCCCTTAGACTACTCCAGCATCGTGACTCTCACACAGAACTTGCACCCCCCCCTTAATCGCCTACCTTGAATCCTGCTCCCACCCTTGATCCCATTCCGGGGTCCCAATCAGAGCCTCTACCCCCATCCCAGAACCTGCACCAGCAGTCAGAGCCCTCACCCTTCTCCCACACCTCAGTCCTCTGCCCCAGCCTGGAGCCTCTTTCTGCATCCTGAACCCCTCGTTTTTGGCCCTGTCCCAATTAGAAGGTTGCCAATGTTCCCAACCAATAGACTGGATACCATTGCCATATGCAGCAATGGTGTCCAATTCATCTGTTCAGGAAAGTTGGCAACCCTGATCCCAAACCTTAGGGGAAGCTCTGAGCCTTTGCCATCCCCCTCATGCCCCACTGGTGGGGATTAAGGATGTTAAGGACTAGTTGACTAGCCGATAAGCAACTTAACGGATAGTCCAGTCGACTAGTTAATTTCACCCCCAGATAGAGGCAGCAAAGGTGCGGGGGAAGGAGGGCAGAAGAGGGGGTACTTCAAAGCGGCATCTCCATACCCAGGCTCCATGCAGTGATGCCGCATTTGTTTCAAAGGGATGGCACCACACAGCTGAGCCTGGGCTCAGCGGTGCGGTGCTATCCCTTTGAAACGCCATCTTGGCATTTTAAAGCAGCACCGCAAGATGTTGACCCAGGGCTCCATGCAGCACTGCCCCTTTGAAATATTAAGGCAGCGTGTCAAAGGGGCCGCAACGCAGGGCTGGTCCCGGGCTCAGCTGTGCGGCGCTGCCCCCTTTAAAATGTCACCATGGCGTTTCAAAGCGGCAGTGCCGCGTGGAGCCCAGGTCATCGGGGGACTCTGAGTCCCCTGCTGGCCCCAGGCTCTGTGAGGGCGCTTCTGTTTTGAAATGCACAAGAGCCCCCACTGGGGACTCGTGTACATTTCAAAGCTGGCACGCCATGTGCAGCCCAGAGTCAGCAGGACTTCCCGCTGGCTCCGGGAGGCTGAACACGGAGTTCCGCATTCCTCCTTTGAAATGTACAAGAGCCCCATGGGGGCTCTTGTACATTTCAAAGGAGGAATGCGGAACTCCGTGGGAAATTCCATCGACTACTTGACTAGTAAATTATTTGCTTTTTAACATCCTTAGTGGGGATGTGTGTAGCCTGTGACTTTCTTTTCTTTTCTGAGGTCCATTGGCCCCTGGTGGGAAAAACGTCCCCCCGTTCCCCATTGGAAAATAAATAATTTGGTATAAAGCAAAGTGTTGAATTAGGGATGTAGTTGACTAGTGACTTGACTAGTCAGCCCCCCTCCTCCCCGCTGCCTCTGTCAGAGAGCGGCAGCAAGTGGAGGGAGCAGGAGCTGGTGCTGGGAGGGGACTGGCTCTAAAGCTGGTTCCCCCCCCCAGCACCATCTCCACATGGGGGGACAGCGCAGTGGAGAACTGGCAGTGCTTCCGCCTTTGAAATGTAGCACTTTTGAAATGTAGTGCCACGGGAAGCACAGGGTGAACAGGGAACTCAAGCAGTCCCTCGCTAGCCCCATGCTTCTTGCTTCTGAAATGTACAAGAGCCCTGTGAGAGGTGGAGGCGCCCTTATCGATTAATTTAGTAGTCCATCGACTATTCGATTAATTGATTAATCTAAATTTAACATCCCTAGGTTGAATGGGCATGAAAAGTGAGCATGGTTTCTCAGGTGTAGGTGGGGTCACTTCACGTCATAATTGAGTCCCATTGGCAGGGCTCAGTGGGAGAAGCTGGAATCAATCTGTTCTGTGGATCTTAGAGGAGGTGATTTGGAAGCATTCTTGATCTGGCATTTTTCAGGAACACAAAGTTTACTTGTAAAAAATCAAATTAAAATCTGAATCAGTTTAAAAATCACCATGGTCTAGCACATTTTCTGCATTGTATTTTCCTTAGTAGTCCAATGAAAGATAACCGGCTTGTTGATGGATATGCAGGTAAGCAAGACACAATTTTAAAAGAAAATTTCGTAACATTACATTTACTTCTAGGTAGAATATTTTTAATGTCAAGTGTGTGTGTTTAGATTACACATCAGTATTTTGGGAAATTGCTGACTTTTGTTTCTGGGGCTATTTTAGAAGAGCAATAAAGGCTGTTAATCTTTTTGTTGTAAACTAGATATAGTTAACTCATTCCGGCACAGCAGGCATGGGTGTATTGTGAAACTCAGTTATATAACTCAAGAATTAAGGGGTGAAATCCTGGCCTTTTTGAAGTCAATTGGAATTTTTGCCATTGATCTCCAAAGAGCCAGGATTTCATCCATGGACTTTTATTTCCCCCCAATAATGGATTAACATTAGGACCTACAGAATTTACTTTTTTACCCTTTCAGCTAAAAAACAGTTCTTACGCTAAAGTTCAGTAGTGAGATGACTTGGAAAGAATCCCATTCTAGGTGAATTCGTATTACTTTGATAATCTAAAAAGCAAAATTTAAGCATGTTTCTGACAAAGAACCAGGATTAATTTCAGAAATGTAAAGTAGGAGACTATCCCAGTAATGATTAAAATAGATCTTACTAAAAGAGTCTTCGATCGTGTCAGTTGGCTTAAAGTGACTTTATTGGATGGTGCAGACTTCTTATCTTTTGAGCCACAGATAAGTTGTTTCTGAGGTACATTTGGTTTTAGTCTGGTGTGTTTCTCTTGTTCTCTTTTCCCTTCTTGTCTTTGACCACTTCCACGTATAGACTGTATTTCTCCTTTCTCACTTCCTCCCTTGCTCTGGCACATCTAGTCTCTTGTATAAAACCTTGCAGATAATCCCTTAGACTACATCTGCAGTCTGAAGTGAAGCCTAAACTGATTTTAGGGCACTCTAAAAAAGGTAATCGAAAAAAAAAGTGATGTGGAGTGGGGAAAATTTCCTCCTCCATATGATGTTCATAAAATTAGTACTGAGGTCACCTTGCATAGTGTTAATTTTCATAGATTCTGAAGTCAGAAGGGACCATTGCAATCATCTAGTCTGACTTCTTTTGTAACACAAGCTTTACAATTTCCTCAGAATAATTCCTAGAACAGATCTTTTAGAAAAACCTCCAAAATTTGCCAGTGATTGGAACTCCACCACGACTCTTGACAAGCTTCAACAAACCATCATAAAGAGAACTCCTTGTTGTTTTACTTTTTAGTGTTAGATATACTGTAAATGAACATGTATGTCCACTTATTGTCGTGTGTGTGTGTACGTACATGATACCAAGAAAATAGTATTCATGGGTTAGCGTGTATTTTCTTAAAATACTACTGCAAACTAATTAGCTGAACTTACTCCTGTTCTTTGCTGAAGTGGGCTCAGGATTGGATCAGGTTATTGGGCTGCAGGAGGGGGTGTAGGAAGCTTACCTCCAGCACCACCTGGATTCAGAAGTGGCAGACATGTCTGTGCACTACCCTTGCCTGAAACACTGCCCCCATAGCACCCATTGCCTGCTGTTCCTGGCCAAAGGGAGATGCAGTACTGCAGGTGAGGGTAGTATGAGGTGCTTTGTGAATCGTTGCATGGGGGTGCAGACACTCAAGGGACTTGCCAGGGGCCAGATGAAATTAAGCCAGAGGCCAGATCTGGCATGCGGACCGGAGGGTCCCCATCCCTGCCCTAATAAGATGCATTTAAACTGCTTTAACTAGTGCAGATCAGTTTAGCCTAATTCAATAGTTTTAAAATAATGGAAATTACTTATTTGGTGCATTTCTTTAGGTTAGACCTATACAGCAGAACATAAGAACATAACATAAGAACATAAAAATGGCCGTACTGGGTCAGACCAAAGGTCCATCTAGCCCAGTAGCCTGTCTACCGACAGTGGCCAGCACCAGGTGCCCCAGAGAGGGTGGACCGAAGACAATGATCAAGCGATTTGTCTCCTGCCATCCCTCTCCAGCCTCTGACAAACAGAGGCCAAGGACACCATTTTATCCCCTGTCTAATAGCCTTTTATGGATCTAACCTCCATGAAATTATCTAGCTTCTCTTTAAACTCTATTATAGTCCTAGCCTTCACAGCCTCCTCTGGGGTACACCACTAGTTACCCCTCTCCAATCTGAAAATTTACCATTTATTCCTATCCTTTGTTTCCTGTCTTTTAACCAGTTCTCAATCCATGAGACGACCTTCCCTCTTATCCCATGGCCATGTAATTTACACAAGAGCTTTTGGTGAGGGACCTTGTCAAAGGCTTTCTGAAAATCCAAGTATACTATATCTACTGGATCCCCCTTGTCCACATGTTTGTTAACCCCTTCAAAGAACTCTAACAGATTAGTAAAACAGATAAGTATGGACACTACTGAATGTATTGCACTGAATAAGCAATTGGTTTCTGTACTGTCATTTCTGGGAGTGACAGAAGTCTTGCTGTCCTCTCTCAGAATCTTTTAACAGATGTACAGCAGACTTTTTTTAAGTCTTCCAAGAGCTGGGAAGTCTATAATATTTCTGGAGACCCGTAAGTGGAAGTACATTACTAATGGGATTATAGACCCAGCAAGCTAGTGAGACCAGTTTTCCACACAATAAAACAGAATGACTTGTTGGTTTGGGCATATTGATGCAGCAAAAGCCTTCACTTTAATTATTAGAAGACTATACTGATGTATCATATTAACAGCATTTCTAAAACTAGCCCTCTTTTTAAGCTCCTCAGAGGTTTTAGATGGATGTAATTATTTTTGTTTACTTTCTTTGTATTGCAGTTGCTGATGATTCCCTTGATAATGTCAGTGCTTTATGTCTGGGCCCAGCTAAACCGAGACATGATTGTATCATTTTGGTTTGGGACAAGATTTAAGGTACAGCATGCACGATGTTGATACAGCTTTCTTCCACACACACACACACACACACACACACACACACACACACACACACACACACACACACCCTCTCCCCCCCCCCGCCTCCAAAGTCTAAAAGAGTTTCATGCTACCTGTTGACAGGGGCTGGATGCAGTATCTTCTGAAGTCAGTCACTTTTCAGTCAGCCATGAGCTATCAATAAAAAGCAGATTCTCCAGAGAGAGATTTTGCTGACCTCCCATCAGAAGGGGTTAGGAGCTCTGGGAAAAGATCAGAGTTCGGTCCCCAATGTGTGTCACATGGTGTAAGCAGTTGTGTACCGCAACAGCTATAAGTGCCCCCAAAATAGAGGTGAACTTTTCTTAAAAGCTGACACCACAATCAAAAGACTTTCTGGTCAGCCTTAACCTGAATAAAAGCCACCTTTCTTCAATAACTAATTTTCTTCACCAGTCACAGTTTTCATTACTGCTCAGTAAAATGTTCATGTTCTGAATAATTTCCTCTTCCACAACCCAGCTTCTTTTTGTTTGACTTCAGTAGAGACTGAGTGTGAGGGAGACATTTGTTTAAACACTGATAATTCTTTACATTTATATAAAAACTATAAAATGCTTAAACGTCATTTAATATGTATTGGTAGTTAACTTACCAGAATTCATGTAGTAATTATGTTTGAGATTAAGTGATTACACTGATGCAGATGCAAAGGAATTTGTGCAGCCTTCTGCTGACCTTCAGTTTTCATGACTTCTCTGTTTTGCTTGTGGTTTCTGCTAGGCTTGTTATCTGCCCTGGGTTATTCTGGGATTCAACTACATCATTGGAGGATCGTAAGTATTCATTATGCTTGCTCACATGAGCTATATCTGTTTTCTTTGCTCGCGTAGTGTTCTATATATTGCTCATTCAGAGGATGTTTGGAACCAATAACATAAAAATAAAGGGGCTTCAAGCCAACCGAAAGACTAGCAATATGATTATTGTATTTTTAATATGATGGCTCTAAACTACACAGGAAAATAAATGTGATGCTGAAATCTTGTAGAAAACGTGGTTGGGGAGGGAAGAAACAGTATGTCTTGTTAATATAGTACATTGAAGGATTGGGTTTTCTTGAAAAGGGAAATTTCAACCATCAGGATTTGCAAATACTGCTCTTCCTAAAAGCCCACCTTTAAATAATGTCTTTCTGATGGAGTAGTTACATCTTACTCGCTTCTTCCTGTTAACTCTTCTCTGCTGCCTTTTCCCCTAAGCCTGGCCTTCCATGATTTAAAAAAAAACAAAAAAACAGCAACAACCTTCCCTGCCCCCTCACAGCAATATGATACTTTCCTACCATTATCTCTCTGAGCAGTCTCCTTGTATTTTGTTGTTGTTTTGTCTAGTTAGCCTGTAAGCTCTTTGGGGCAGGGATTCTCTAATCTCTTGTACAGTGGTGCCCTAATCTCTTGGTGGCCCCCTAATACAAATAATAATCTTATGTGGTCTACTAAGAGAAGTGGATAAGGAATCAGAATTTGTGTGTTCAGATTCTGGTTCTCTCTCAGATTTGACTTCTCCCCAGTTCAGGAAACTGCTGCTTGCTAGATACTTGCTGTTTCTACGCATGGAAGAAAATACCGCAAGGCCCACTGCTGAATTGGGGCCCAACAAAAGTTTTAAACAGCAGAGGGCAGGCTGTCCAATGGAAATAGCAATATATTTTTTCAGGAGATGGGGACTGTTGATAGCTATAATGTCTGTTTTTTGATGAGAGTATTAATGGGATTATATCATTCAAGAATGGCTGGAGAAGGCCTGAAAGGACAGTATTGGAAAGGCTTGCTGAAGTGTTGATGCTGATAGGGAAGTTGACTGAGAGGTAGCCTGCAATAAGCGGGCATTAATGTGTTTTTAATGTTGGTGGGGGAGTAAGGGGAAGATGAGGCTATAATGCATGTGACTCCCATAGTGCGTACACAAAAAATAGCTGAAAAATTTCACAAAATCACCAAGTTCTGAAATTGAAATCTTTCTTCTTGCCTTGCAGTATCATCAATGAGCTAATAGGAAATCTGGTTGGACACCTGTATTTCTTCTTAATGTTTAAATATCCAATGGACTTGGGAGGAAGGAATTTTCTAACCACACCCCAGTTTCTGTAAGTTTTTTTGTTTTTTAAACTAGTCATTTCTTTGGCATACTTTTCTAGGGATACTGTAACTGGAAAACTAAAGGGCTTCCTATATCACATTTTAAATACATTTGCTGGGATAGAGGGGATAAGATTGTTTCCCTGGGCTAATCAGCCAACAATTGGGACAACTGCCATACCTTCTCACATAGAAATTAACATATCACATCAGACTGACATTCAGCACCTATCTGTGACTGTAGACAGCATCAAGGGAAGAAGGTGAAAGAAACCAGGTAGTATGTAATTTTGGCATTAAAAAGCCCATATGACTGTTAGTCAGTGATCGGTTTATGTTCTTTGCTAGCCCAAGGAAGAGATGGTGCATAGTGTATTCAGTGGCAATAAAAAGACATCCCTGGAAGTATTACAAAGGCAATATCTGTCTATCTTGATTGTAGAATTGTTCTTTTTAATTGGGGTTTTCTTTCTTATTAATTAAGTTTTATCAGTTTTCCTGCACCATTCCTCTAGCTAAAAGGCAAATAAACCTATAGTACCTACATTACAGAGACTAGTTCTATATCACATTTGGTATTGCTGGGTATACATTGCACATTGATATTACCTGCTTTCTGTGTATCTGGCACATGAGTAAAATAACTTGGATCCCAGAGCAGCAATCTGTTAATGGTTTCAATATAGAAAATAGGGATGTTAGATATAATATAATCAAATAGTCGTGTAACTACATGGAATCTTATCGGTTATATGTCTATTCAGTAGTCCCTGGGGGTAGGGGCAGCAGCCAGGGCACTCCTGGTGCCACTTCCAGAGAGCCCTCTGCTATCCCGTGCTGCTGCCTCTGTATCAGAGGCAGCCATGCAGGGTGGTAGGCGGGAAGTTTAACATCCAGCTCCCCGTGTAGACCGGCTGCCTGCCACCCCGCGCTGCTGCCTTTGATATATGCTTTTCCCTGCCATGCCCTTGTTTAATGACTTCAAGTTGATCCCTCTTTAAAACCTGAGCTGTCAATTATAAAATGAGGTACAGGGTTAACATTCACATAATACAGTAGACTTCCGATAATCCGGCACGTTTGGGACTTAGGTGGTGCTGGATTATCAGATATTATCAGTATCAGGAGGTACTGCGTACTCCCAACCCAATCTCCTGGCCTGCCCCCCTCCCCAATCAGCTGACTGGGACACTGTGAGTAACCCAATCCCCCTCCCCTTCCCCTTAGCAAAACACTTCTGCTCCCTGCTGTAACCTGAACTTCTCCTCCCTGCTGTAACCCGATCCCACTCCCCCCGCCCAATCTTATGCTCAGGTCCCGGTACAGCCGGCACGTGTGCTGAGCGGCCGGCTTTTCAAGCAGCTGGTCGGGATACCGTGAATAACCCAATCCCTCTCCTCCTCTCCCTCCCCCGGAACCAAACACTTCTACTCCCTGCTGTAACCCACGTGAGAGCGGCTGACCTGAGTGGTTCTGGGTTCAGTCCTGGTTCCGTCAGGAGCGCTTGCCATTTTGATGCCAGACTATCGGGAGTACCGGACAATTTGGTGCTGGACTGTTGGAGTTTTAGTGTACTGCATAACTTCCAACAGCATGGTTGGGTGCTCAGCCTTACATGGTAGCTGTCTTTGCTATTTCAAGCCCTTCTTTTAAATATTAGAAGAAAAAATTGTACTTAAAATGTTTTTCAAAAAACTGCCCTGAAGCTACCATCAGCGTTGTTCGTTATATATAATTCTGTCTTTTATTCCAGTTACATACATACATACATACATACATTTAATTTCTCTCAGTATATTAAGAACCGTAAGAATAGCCATCCTTGGTCAGACCAATAGGAACATGTCCGTATTCTGACAAGAATAGAAGTGGTTTATAGTACTTCTGAAGAGGCACCACTTCTGGATTTTTGTATCAAAATCTGTAGGGAGCTTCTGCAAGTAGGATATGGTGGTAACATTAAGACACTTCTGTGTCGAAGTTCTTTAACTTCATGGTGTTCTGTTTGTGAAAACAAAATTATAGAATTGGGACTTGCCAGTTTTCTGTGAGGGTTCAGTGGAATTGTGCCCACTTTAACCCAGAGCTGAATTTGACTCTAGGTCTGTCGGACATTTGAATTTATTCAAGAGTTGCTGTGACAAAGAGGAAGAATGGCCCATTGGTTAGGGTGCCAGCCTGATATTTGAGAGACCCAGTTTTGATTCCCTGATCTGCCCTGGGCTAGTCACTTAATTTCTGCCTTGACTCCTCATCTGTAAAATAGAAATCCCTTCTTTACAGGGTGTTGAGGAAAAATCCACTAAAAGATTAGGAGGTGCTCCGATATTGTAA